ATAATCCAGCATGTGGAGTCACTTGTATATGATGTATGAAATACATATCCACAGTTACCTGAGTCACTGAAAGATGAAGAGTTCTTTTCTGGTGTTGAGGTAGATTCTTCATGAGGCATTAATGTTATCGGAGGATCCATGGTGACAAGGGCAGCACGACCCGTTCCTCCAGCAGCAAGTTTACGAGCCTTGAGACCCTCCCACCAATCTGGATAGCCATGTAATTTAAAATAGGTTTCTCGAGTGTGCTTTGGATTCCCGCAATGAGTGTAACCATTCCCATTTGTGGGAGCCTTGGGTCGAGAAGGTGGTGGAGTAGTCTTGTTGGTAATGGTCTGTAGTTGGAGAGAAGCAGTAACTGGGGTTGGTGTTGGGCGAGAGGGTCGGTATGTTCCTTTTGTTGCCAATCCTACTCCGGTTGGTGTTGGAGCTCCCAACATCACAGCTTGTCGAATATCTTCCCGTCGAACATGAGCATAGGCTTGCTCTACTGTAGGAAATGGACTCATTTGGAGCACGTCACTTCGGGCTTTGTCAAGTCGATCATCCAAACCATCCAAGAAAATATAAACTTGATCTTCTTGGATGATATCATAGTATTTCTTGATATCCAGCTCGCACTGCATCTCATTTGGACGACGAAAATCGATCTCTCACCATAAGCCTTGGAGATCATTGTAGTAAGTTTCAATCGAGCCTCCCCCTTGTCGCATGGGAGATTCGCCTTTTAAGATCATACACCTGGGAGGTGTCAGTGCCATCAAAGTAAGTTGTGGCTATTGCATCCCAAACTCCTTTGGCCGTCGGGAATCTAATGAAGTTGCCAATTAACCTTGGCTCCATGGAGTTGATTAGCCACCCTTTCACAATTGCATTTTCTATTCGCCATCGGTTGAATGTCGAGTCTGTCTAAGAAGGTGCTAGGAGTTCACCAGTGAGATATCCCAGCTTGTCTTTGTCAGCAACATACATCTCAATAACTTGAGACCATAAGGTATAGTTGGAGCCATCCAATTTAATGCCAATTTGTGCAGAGAGGTTTCATAGGTAATTGTCGGAGTCGGGGTCGTAGTTGATGTCGATGCTTGTGTCTTCATCAACTCAGCCATTTGAGCAGCAAATTCTGTGAAGGTAGGTTGAGAAGGAGTAGCCGGATTGGTGGTGCTACTTTCAGTGGGAAAGAAATCGTTTTCTCCCATGATAGCAGCAACAATTCGAGACTAGAGTCAGCAAGATCGCTGCTCTGATACCATGTCAAATTTAGGAGGATATGTTGAAGGTTGAGTAGAGAGAATGGAGAGTGCAGAGAATTTGGAAGCTACACATATTTTTCTAATTTCAACTTGTGTTCATTCTATTCACATCAAAACATTTATACATGTAATTATCCCATACTAATACAAAAGTTCTCCCTAAAACATTCCATGAAACATTCCCTAAGACAAGGATTACATACTTCAAGAAAAAGTATTCCCTAAAACAAGGAATGAGACAAGTGTGCCATGAGACAAGGATTGTCTTGTGTTTCATGTCTTTGTGTTTCACAAGATGACAATTGCACAAGATGCCAATATTGCTAACAGATTCAACTCTAAGGGACATAAGAAATTGGCTTTAGAAATAGAAACAGGGACTGGGCTGATCAGTGATCAAAAGATCATGAAAACCAAAACGTCTTCCGTGCATAATCTAATGCTTGTTTCCATTCTCTCCTCCATATTTGTTGTTACTCTGCTCAGCTTTCCCAGCCCAGCTGAAGCTGATTATCTATACCATGTCTACCCAAACACTACCACTTTCACCCCAAACTCCACCTTCCAGTCCAACCTCAACCGCCTCCTCTCCACCCTCTCCTCCAACGCCACCCGCCCCTCTGGCTTCTACAACGCCACCACCTCCTCCCGAACCCCAAACGACCCCATCTACGGCCTCTTCCTCTGCAGCGGCGATGTAGGATTTGGTACCTTCTACTACTGATCACCATGATCAAGTAAGGACTCATGATTGCTCAACCAATGGTTTGACGATTTCTAATGATTTGGCCCGCTGACGAGGATGACAATCAAGTAAATATCATTGGATTCCATTAATTAAAGGCTTAAGCTATAAGCTTACATTTTGTTTCACATCAGCACAAGTCATTTTATTGGGAAAATGTTAATCATACACTCTCCCTCAATTTTATTTACACTGAGATCTACTAATTTCTTATTACTTAATACGTTTGCTAGCCAATTTGGGATCTAACCACCCCAATTGGTGCATATCGCTCTCAAATATCTGGGAAATTTATCATCAAATTCGCGTCAAGTCTGTAGATTAACATGAATGGATCCCTAACCAAATTGGGATAATTATATCCTATCAGCTTGGCCTCCCGCATGAGAAAAATTCATGCTTATATGCTACTGGCATGGGAAAAAAGTGACACTATGAAGTTGGCTTGTGATAAAATGTTAGAAAAAGATTACATTTCTTTTCTGGGTATACGTAGCTGTGGTAACGACTTATCATCCTACAGCGTAGCGGTCCCATGCATTAAGAACGTGACTGACAAGGCTTTAAGTCTTCACACCAATGTCTTGAAAAAGGTTTTTCTCATTTGTGGGTCTGTCTGGGTTGAATCTTCTTCATGGTTTTGTGGTTACCTACTCCCAATTCAGTTTATACCAAATTGACAACCGGCTTAATTAGGTAGTTGTGGTCGCATCACTGCCCTGCATTGATGACTGGAGTTATGGATTATTTTTCTGGCCACCATTGCGACGGCGACATGAAGTGGTGGCAGGAAGGAAATGGGGTCAGCTCAGCTCAGCTGGTTATATGAATCGATCAATGTGTGAGTGTAATATAACAATGACTCTTGCCATATTCTCGGTCAGTTGTATAAAACCATACTCTTCTATTATATCAAGATGTAAAATATTGGAAAATTATTGAGGAAAAAGAAAAGGCAAGACCACAGTTGGGCTGAAAATTCTACCCCCTCCGTCTCCAATTCATCAATGACTTTTCAATAACTTTACTTTCCACATGATTCAACATCACAGGGGCTTCTTCACACCTTCCTTCAATAAAGGACAAAAGTTGACTTCAACCTTAACACTCCTATCAATTTATGAGTACATGTTGTATTCATAACTGACACAAATTAATGTGCAAACAACCAATTAAAAATACCCGCAAGTGCACGAATCTGTTGAGGTATAGATTATGTAAGTACGGGGTCGATCCCACGAAGAACTGTCGGCTTCCTACAAGTTCTAATTTGAGTACGTAAAGAACACTTATTTAACACACCACAAAAGCAAGGTACAAAATGGAAACTAACAAATGAGTAAAGAAAGGTAAATGAAAATAAACAAAACAAGAAACCAAAGAAAAACACAAATAGCACTTTCTATCACCCTTTTATCACCAATGTATCACCTGTGAACAGTGCAATGAACAGTGTGCATATGAACAGTGCGACCGGTCGTTTTTGGACAGAATCGTTCGTGACCGGTCGTGTGAACAGTGCGACCGGTCGTTTTTGGGCAGGTTCGTTTTCTCTGTTTTTCAGATTCGACCTCTGTCCAGTTTTTGACCTATAACTTTCCAACCGTTTGTCCAAATTTCACGTTCTTTATACGGTTGGATTCAGCACAGAAAAATGGAAGAACATATCGTGAAGCAAAAGTTAAAAACAATTACGGAAACAAACAAAATTTAGTGAAGAAGACACACAACGTTTCCAACAACACAAACACACACACATTGGGGGGGGTTTGGAGCTGATTTGAGTGACCTCTTTCTAATGCTTGAATGTAAATGAACTCTAATTTTAACAAGAATGACAGAGACAGAGAATGAAAATCAAAATGTGAAATTAAAATGTAACAAACACTAGGGTTTCGGAATCCACCGTAAACAATTCTACCAATGTTCATGGATACTCAAGTAATGAACTCTAAACATATTGATGAAGATGTTCGCAATCAAGATCGGGACTAGTGGCTCAAGACGCATTGATTCTCTCTAATAGCATGATGTTTACATTAGGTATTCAAGAAACCAATTCACATGGATGATTCTTACTTCATTTATTTATTGCTTAGGAAAACATGAAGAAACACATAATTCCAACAACCTCAAGAAGCATGCTTTCAAAGGTAATCAATCAAAGGAAAACATACATCAAGGATAGATTACTTTAGTGAAGAGGAATTCATCAATTGTTGTCAAGAAACCAATTCACATGATGCTCACTTACACAAGTTCAATCATTTGTTGCTAATTAAAAATTATGTTCTTGGGTATCTTACACAACTTCTCAACTTTAGCTACATGCATACAACCTAAGGTGATTAATCAAAGGAAGCAAACACATATCATAAGATTCAATTAGTGAATGGGATTCATCAACGACATCTAAAAATTCATACACTCAAAGCATCAAAACAATAAGGTATTCATGTTTAGGGCTTCAACCTAAGCCCTACCTAGCTATGAAGTTTAGTTGCTCATACTTATTTCAAATACAAACTCAAAACAAAACTAGAAAGAGTTTACATATTTTGTGAAAATGGGAGCTCAAGGTCTTCAATGGTGGAAATCTCTTCCACTTCTTGCTTTGTTGCCCTTGTCTTCCTCCTTGAGCTCCCTAGCTCTAAGCTCCCAAAAATCTCTGCAAAGTTGTAGAATGATAGAATGGAATCAGATTCCAATGGCTGCCTCCTTCTTTGCTCCCTTCTCTCCTCCTTTCCAGCTTTTACTTTTAATATAAAAATCAACCTTTGTTAAGCCTTAAACCTTGTCCCCTTGCCATGATGGGCTTCTTTTGTTCTTGTCTTCACAAAGATGTTCATTGTTTCAGAAAATATCTCTTAACCAAAGTAATTTCTTGTTACCAAATGGTATGGTAACAAGAAGAATCAAGATGACACTATGGAGGTAAAAACTGGCCCAAGACAAATCTCTAGAGCTGCTGTAACATGTAGGATCAGTTGGATAGGTTATACTTGTCCAATGGAGCTCAAATTTGGATATGTTGTAGTTAACATCCATTGGAACAAGTTTCATTAAGATCTTCACCTCATCCGAGCACCAGAGCATGCTGATCCAAGGCCAAGAAGTTGACCTACGAAAATGAACAAAATCAGAATTTATAACCAATAATACACTTTTAGCTCATTTTCATTCTAACCAAGGTAAAACCTATGAAAACACAAAAAGGAAGTAAAAAGCTATAAAATGTCAAGAACTACTCAAAATATTAGGTGAATAACATAATAAATCATTTGTAAAAATGAACCGAACAGTACATCACAATCCTAACTAGAGCAAACACGCCAAACTCGGCCTAAAGGCATATTAGCTCACCTAAACCCATCTTATTTACACATTGTAGAAGGAGGTGATCGTGATCATCAGGAAGAGGTTATTGATTTGTGTATCAAAATGCCTTCCTTCAATCTCAATGTGTTGATGACCCTTGTGCTTGGCTTGCTTAGCCATAGCAGTTTGAGTGAAGCTGAATACCGCTACCACGTCTGTTCTAACGCAACCAGTTTCATTCCCAACAGAACCTACGAATTCAATCTTAAGCTCCTCCTCTCTTCTCTCACCTCCAATGCCACCCGTGAACTCAGTTTCTACAACACCACTGCCGGCTCCCAAGATCCCAACGTGTCTGCCGCGCAAATCTCACGGCCTGGAGTTCCGGGCCGAGGGGATGTGCGTTGACACGCGGTTTCCTGCTTTTGGGTGCGGTGCGGTTGTGCGCGGGCGTGCCAACACGGTCTACCATGCGTCGAGATGTTGATGTGTAGGATGGATAAGTGGTGCGCCTGTTTGAACTCGTCTTCTAATCAAACGATTGTAGCCAAGAGAGGAACTAGTCTCGGCTGTTAGGTTCACGGCCTGAACTACAAGGCCGTTGAGTGATGGTGTCGGTGGTGGGTTTTGGGCGGTGCTCCGGCGCGTCGCTCAGAGAGCGACGGTCGTATGATATATGGGGTGAGGGAACGAACAACAGAGATGGTGCTCCGGCGCCTTGAAAATCAAGGGTCGTATGATATATTGATGAATGGATTTTCCTTACAACCTAACACTACTCCTAGGAAAGCAAGTAAAGATATTGAAAGTGCATTACAGGAAAAAATAAGTTGCTCCGTGGGAGGCTTTGGTTTGGTGTTTGAACCCGTTGAATGTAGCTCGAGCCTTGTATTTATAGGAAGAGTTCCTGGATGAGTAATCGAGGCTGAATTTACGCATAGTGGAGTCTGATTAGCGCAAGTGGGTGTCCAATCGACATTTGGGATCATGAAGCATGGTGGTGTGATCCCATAAATCCTGGTGAATCTCGACCGCCGCCCTAATCGTGGTTTCTGCGCAGCTGGCCGTGGAGACGCATTTATTGCTCTGATAGCTGGTGACCTAATCTCTCAAGCTGCAAGAATTCTTGTGAGAATGTCTACGTCTAATCACTCTGTCTTCTGTCGCCACAACCTGACTTCAGTCACTTCCCACCTTCCCTCATGCATTAAATGCTTATTTGTGGCCAGTGGGTTTGCTGCATTAAACAGGCGCTACTTCATTAAATGAAGCATGGGTCCCTGCTATCACGTGATGATCTGACTTTAATATTTCTGGCCGCGATTTTGCTTGGCCTCGGCCTCGGCCTGCACTCGAGGCCGAGATGATCATGCCTTGGCATTTTTATTTTGTCTTCAGGAAGGCAAAGCACTTTGTTGAAACGCTGCGTTTCAGTTTTATGAGCAAGTGCCAGGGCCGAGAAAGGGGGCTCCTTCGGCCAGCTCATGGCCGTGATTTATTAGGCACAAACACAACGCTGCAGTTTACGGTTCCTTTCTATGCCGTGTCGATCTCACATCAGATGCATGCCAAGATTGTGTAGCTACTGCAATCAGAGACACGGTCCAAAAGTACTGCCCCTTAAGAAAAGTCACTATAATTTGGTACGATGATTGCATGTTACGCTACTCAAACGTGTCTTTTTTCGGCAATATGGATGAAGCCCCAAGAGTTTCTTTGTGGAACGCGGGAAATATTACTAATCCAAACCGGTTTAATGAGGTACTGGCGGAAACAATCAATGGCTTGGTGCCTGAGGCAGCAAATAAGGCCTCCAGAGCTAAAAAGTTTGCGGCAAAAAAAACAAACTTTACAGCGTTTCAGGAGTTGTACAGCCTTGTGCAATGCACGCCGGACCTGTCAAGCACCGCCTGTGATCGGTGTCTTCGAGGAGCTATTGCACTTCTTCCGGCTTGTTGTAATGGGAAGCAAGGAGGAAGAGTTTTGTATCCTAGTTGTAATGTTAGATATGAAGTGTATCCATTTTATACATTTGTTACTGCCCCTCCTCCGCCACTGCTTCTTCCTCCTCCACCTCCAGCTTCAGTTACAAGGTCTCAAGGTATAATTAATTACAAGCTCATGTCTATGTTCTAATTGGTTAATTATATGTTTAGAAAGCAATGTTTGTCTTTGTAGAACTTTTACACAAACATAGGGATGAACCATTAATTTGTGTCTAATACTCTGTGCAGGAAATGATGACCAAATCTCAACTTTGGTCATAGTGGCCATTGTGGTTCCAATTGCCATATTGCTCTTCTTGGTAGGCTGCTGTTTCTTAAGAAGAAGAGCAAGGAAAAAGTACAATGTTATACAACAACAAAATGGTAAACAAACATTGAAATATTTTATAATTTCCTTTCCGGACCCAACTTATGTATTTTCCTCTTTTGAACGATTTGATTCCTAATCGTGTTCAGTACTTTATTAGTCCATAATTAATTAATACCTCCTACTTCTTGATTGTGTAGTGGGGAACGAAATTAATAGCGTGGAGTCATTGCTGTTTGACTTGCGTACAATTGAAGCAGCCACAGACAATTTCTCAGATCAGAACAGATTAGGGGAAGGTGGCTTTGGTGAGGTTTATAAGGTTGGGATTTTGGCTTACCAAATCTCGTGAATTTTAGTCATGCCAGAGTTCATGAAAATGTGTTAAACTTATGAAAGTTATACTTAGATGTTTGTAAAGATTATTGGTTGCAATATTTCAGGGTACGCTTCCTGATGGGCAACAAATAGCTGTGAAGAGGTTATCTAGCGGCTCCGGGCAAGGTGCCGAAGAGTTTAAAAATGAGGTGGTTTTGGTAGCCAAGCTTCAGCACAGAAATTTAGTGAGGCTATTGGGATTTTGCACTGAAGGAGAAGAAAAGATACTTGTTTACGAGCTTGTGGAGAACAAAAGCCTTAACCACTTTCTATTCGGTTTGTGCCCTTCTAACATCATGTGTGATACCATATGCTATTTCATTAGTTGATGATAAAATTACACTTCACTTTCTAATTCAAAAACCAAGCGCAACATTCCCAAGATTCAAAGCCACTGAGGAAAAGAAAATATCTTTCAGAATTATGTTTGTATGTCTATTAATGTCTTAATTTTAGTGAAATGAAATGAATTCCTCTGAAATTATTTTACTTATTCTAACCTGTATATTTCTATTGGACAAATGTGTGCAGACTCTGAGAACCAAGTAAAATTGGATTGGTCAAGCAGATACAAGATTATTGGCGGGATTGCTCGAGGGCTTCTCTATCTCCATCAAGATTCTCGGCTTAAAATCATACATCGCGATCTTAAAGCAAGCAACATATTGTTAGATGGGGACATGAACCCAAAAATTGCAGATTTTGGCATGGCAAGAATAGTTGGAGTTGACCAAACTCAAGGGAGCACAAGAAGGATTGTGGGAACATAGTAAGTAATAACAGAACTTCGTTTATATTCACATAATCTGCATAAATGAGTTGATTGATTTTCTCATCCTGAAAAGTAATTACTAGAAAGAAAAGATATCAAATTGATATCTCAAGAATTCACCTTAACTCAGACAAGATGGAGAAGCTCTGTTATTGCAGGGTACATTGTTATGTATGCTTCTGTTAGTGTTATCAGATATGCACTATCGGTTACCCTGTTTATGAATTATAAGTTAATTGACACATTGATTGCCAGATGAGTTTTAACATGTTCACACTGTATTTGGACAAACATTACTTTATTGATGCTGCTGGTTTGTAGTGGTTACATGCCTCCAGAATATGCAATGCACGGACAGTTCTCTGTGAAGTCCGATGTGTACAGTCTTGGTGTCCTGATCTTAGAGATTTTAACTGGCAAGAAGAACACTAGTTTCTATAACTCAGACCGTGGCGAAGACCTCTTGAGCTATGTGAGTATAAGTTGAATATTGTAATATGCATCTCATGGTTTATTTTTTTAGAATGGGTCTCTTGAAAAAAAAATATTTGCAGGCTTGGAGACATTGGAGGGACGGGACACCCTTAGAATTATTGGATCCAAATCTAAGAGATTCTTATGCAAAAGCTGAAGTAACTAGATGTGTCCATATCGGGTTACTCTGTGTTCAGGAAATTCCAGATGAGAGACCCACAATGCAATCCGTAGTTCTCGTGCTAAGCAGTTACTCTGTTACTATGGCATTACCTCAAAAGCCAGCACTTTTCCTGCATAGTGGAACAGAGCTGAACATGCCATCGTTAACCACTGAATCATCTGATCAAACTACTAGCAAGTCGTTGCCATTTTCTGTTAACGAAGTATCAATTACTGAATTATACCCGCGTTAGTGTATATCGAACAAAGCGTGATCAATCTTTCAGGACTGTACTTTGGAAGTAGTGTGGTTTTGTTTCATTTCTCTCTGGTTTTCATGGTTGCGCTAGCTGTTCTGTTTCTTATTAGTTTAGTTAGTCTCTCCTCCATAGGGGCCCTGTATTCGTTTGCCTTCGTAGCATTGTATGTCTTTGCCTTTGGGCTATTGTACCTTTTATAGTGATATGTGTTGCAGACCATTATTAAGCAAACTTACCAACAAAAGCTTCCACGTTAATATATGATATTTCAGAAATGGTCATTGCCCTTTTCTCAGGATCTTGCATTCCCAAATTACCTTGACATTGTCCTTTGTCGCATATATTAATTTGGGTTTTTTCTCACTCACCCAATCCCATGATATTATCACTTTTGCAATTTTTTTTTCAAATGTGTTTTTTCTCTCCTCCGTCACTTGAGCCCCAAACAGCGCACACATTGCCATGAATGTGCAAGATACATACCATCTTCATCCCATTTCTCTCTTATTATGCCCAAACCTTTCTGAAATGATGAGCAGTTGCGGCCATTGACCCAAAAAATAAAAGGTTAAGTTCCAATGAAATAAAAAATGCTTTATAATTATTCTTACAAAAAATATTGTAAGCTCAAGCGTTTAAAATTGCTTACCCCTACATCTAAGGTCTTAAGTAGGAGTAATTTTTGAAAAACCAAACTGAACCCGGGATATATAAAAATTTCTCCTTAGGTAGGGGTGGGTATTGAGATCAAAAAATTGGAAAACCACATGAAACCGGATTGAAAAAAAACGGTTGAAAACCAAGTTAACCAACAAATCAAAAGACCAAACTGAACCAGTTCAACTCAATTCCTATTTTAATTTGACATCTCAAAAACCCGGTCCACATAAAACCAGATCAATTGTGTAAATATATTTTTTTTTAAATCCCAATATTCAATAATTTAAGGTCCTATCCCAACTCAAAAGCCTTCAGACCAAAAAAGAAAAAAAAAACTCAAAAGCCCAAGTCAAACTCCAAGTCCACCTTCATTGGGCCATTCCACCAACTAAAAAGCCCAAACGTGTTTTTTCGTCAAACCCCAAACATTCATTCATTTCCCCGAAGTAGCATGTTGAAAAGAAAGGCTCCGCTCTTTTTAATGAAGCAGCACATGTCATAAATAACAATGCAGCAAGTCCAATGTATATTGGATGATTTAGTGGTGTCTTCGAAATATACAAAAATTTCTCCAAAACATTTCTCTCTCTCTTCTTTTTCTTTTTCTACTTCCTCTTTCTTTCCTTCCTTCTTTCTTTGTTTATCTTTTTTTTTTCTTCTTTTGCGTTTCTGTTTTTCTCCTTGACGCTTGTACTCAAAAACAAAAAAAAAATATGTAAAATGAATGTAAATACCGGAAAATTGAGGAAAAAGAAAATGCAAAAACACGTTTCCGCATGATTCACAGTCACTGGGGCCTCTTCACTCTTTCCTTCAATAAAGGACAAAAGTTGACTGCAACCTTAACACTCCGGTCAATGTGACGAGAGCAAAACACGCGAAACAGGGCCTAAACTCTTCTTATTTATACATTGTAGAAGGAGGAGATCGTGACCATCTAGTAGAGATTATTGATTATCAAAATGCCTTCCTTCAATCTCAATGTGTTGATGACCCTTATGCTTGGCTTGCTTAGCCTTAGCAGTTTGAGTGAAGCTGATTACCGCTCCCACGTCTGTTCTAACACAACCCGTTTCACTCCCAACAGCACCTACGAATTCAATCTTAATCTGCTGCTCTCTTCACTCACCTCCAATGCCACCTGTGAACTTGGTTTCTACAACACTACCGCCGGCTCCCAAGACCCCAACACTGCAGTTTACGGCTCCTTTCTATGCCGTGCTGATCTCACATCAGATGCATGCCAAGATTGTGTGGCTACTGCAGCCAGAGACGCGGTCCAAGAGTACTGCCCCTTAAGAAAAGTCACCACAATTTGGTACGACGATTGCATGTTACGCTACTCAAACGTGTCTTTTTTTGGCCATATGGACCAAGGCCCAAAAGTTTATATGTTTAGCGCGGGAAACGTTACTGAACCAATCAGGTTTAATCAGTTGCTGTCAAAAACAATCACTGGATTGGTGCCTGTGGCAGTAAATGCGGCCTCCGGTGCTAAAAAGTTTGCGACAAAAGAAGTGAACTTTACAGGGTTTCAGGACTTGTACAGCCTTGTGCAATGCACGCCAGACCTGTCAAGCACCGATTGTGATCGGTGTCTTCGAGGAGCTATTGCGCTTCTTCCGGCTTGTTGTAATGGGAAGCCAGGGGCAAGAGTTTTGTGTCCTAGTTGTAATGTTAGATATGAATTCTATCCATTTTATACTAGAGTTGCTGCCCCACCAACACCACTGCTTCTTCCTCCTCCACCTCCAGCTTCAGTTTCAAGATCTCAAGGTAAAAATAATTAGTAGCAGCGGGGGTAGTTCATGTATTTGTTCTAATTGGTTAATTGTAAGAAAGCAATGCTTGTAGAGTTTTTAAATATACATAGGAAACCGTTAATTTGCGTACTAATATTCTGTGCAGGAAATGATGACCAAATCTCATCTTTACCCATAGTGGCCATTGTGGTTCCAATTCCCATATTGCTTTTCTTGGTAGGCTGCTGTTTCTTCAGAAGAAGAGCAAGGAAAAAGTACAATGTTAAACAACAACAAAATGGTAAACACTGGAAAGTTTTTCTTTGGTCAAGGAACACTGGAGAGTTTTATAACTTCCTTTCCAGACCCAACTTATGCATTATTTTCCTCTCTTGAAGGATTTGATTCCTAATCGTGTTCAGTAGTTACTTAGTTCATAATTAATTCCTTCTTCTTTTTGATTGTGTAGTGGGGAGCGAAATTAGTAGTGTGGAGTCATTGCAGTTTGATTTGCATACAATTGAAGCAGCCACAGAAAATTTCTCTGATCAGAACAAGTTAGGGGAAGGTGGCTTTGGTGAGGTTTACAAGGTTGTGATTTTGGCTTACAAATCTAATGAATATTTTGTCCAAAAAAAAAATCTCATGAATTTAAGTCATGCCAGAGTTTAACAGAATGTATTAAATCCACGAAAGTTATACTTAGATGTTTGTAAAGATCATTGGTTACAATATTTTCAGGGTACACTCCCTGATGGGCTACAAATAGCTGTGAAGAGGTTATCTACAGGCTCCGGGCAAGGTGCCGAAGAGTTTAAGAATGAGGTTGTTTTGATAGCTAAGCTTCAGCACAGAAATTTAGTGAGGCTACTGGGATTTTGCTCTGAAAGAGAAGAAAAGATACTTGTTTACGAACTTATGGAGAACAAAAGCCTTGACCACTTTCTATTCGGTTTGTGCCCTTCTAACATCATGTGTGATACCATATGCTATTTGATTAGTTTTTGATACAATTACACTACAATTTCTAATTCACAAACCAAGAACATTCCCAATAGTCAAACTCAAAGCCACTGCGGAAAAGAAAATATCTTTCAGAATTCTGCATGTCTATTAATTTACTTATTCTAACCTGTGTATTTTATTGGACAAATGTGTGCATATATAGGCTCTGAGAACCAAGTAAAATTGGATTGGTCAAGCAGATACAAGATTATTGGGATCCATGCTCGAGGGCTTCTCTATCTCCATCAAGATTCTCGGCTTAAAATCATACATCGTGATCTTAAAGCAGGCAACGTATTGTTAGATGGGAACATGAACCCAAAAATTGCAGATTTTGGCATGGCAAGAATATTTGGTGTTGACCAAACTCAAGGAAGTACAAGAAGGATTGTGGGAACATAGTAAGTAACAGAACTTTGTTTATGTTCACATAATCTGCATAAACGAGTTGATTGTTTTTCTCATCCTGAAAATTAATTACTAAAAAAAAGAAAAGATATCAGATTGATATCTCAACAATTTATCTCATCTCAGACAACATGAAGAAGCACTGTTAATGCAGTCTTCCCTCAGTGTTATCATATACGCACTATTGGTTACCCTGTTTATGAATTATAAGTTAATTAAGATACTGATTGCTAGATGAGCTTCAACACTCTGTATTTGGATTTACATTACTTTGATGATGCTGCTGGTTTGTAGTGGTTACATGCCTCCAGAATATGCAATGTATGGACAGTTCTCTGTGAAGTCCGACGTGTACAGTCTTGGTGTCTTGATCTTAGAGATTGTAACTGGCAAGAAGAACACTAGTTTCTATAACTCGGACCGTGGTGAAGACCTCTTGAGCTATGTGAGAAAGTTGAATATTTTAATTTGTATTTCATGGTTAATCTTTTTACTGCATCATTTTGAATGAGTCTCTTACTAAATAAAAAATAAAAAATTTGCAGGCTTGGAGACATTGGAGGGATGGGGCACCCTTAGAATTATTGGATCCAAATCTAAGAGATTCTTACGAAAAAACTGAAGTAATTAGATGTGTCCATATTGGGTTACTCTGTGTTCAGGAAATTCCAGATGAGAGACCGACAATGCAATCCATAGTTCTCATGCTAAGCAGTTACTCTGTTACTATGGCATTACCTGAAAAGCCAGCATTTTTCATGCATAGTAGAACAGAGCTGAACATGCCCTCATTAACAACTGAATCATCTGATCCAACTACTAGCAACCCGTTGCCATTTTCTGTTAACGAAGCATCAATTACTGAATTATACCCCCGTTAGTGTATATCGAACAATCTTGCAGGACTGTACTTAGGAAGTTCTTTGATTTTGTTTCATTTCTCTATGCTTTTCATGGTTGATCTAGCTGTACTGTTTCTTGTTAGTTTAGTTAGTCTCTGCTCCATAGGCATAGGGGCCTCCGTATTTGTTTGGTTGCCGTTGTAGCATTGTCTTTATTTGTCTTTACAATGAAGTTATACAGATTATAAAAAATAAATAAGTTATACAGATTATCGGTGTTTGCTTCTTATAATATTATGATTCGAAGGGTTCAATCACCTTGTTAATTATATATTTATTTTCTAATTAATAATCAATACTCTGTTCTTACAATAAACTTATTGCATGTCCACAATTCAACTATATGTGAGGGAAGTATAGTCGCATGGCTATGCGTTTGAAATATTCCATTTAATATTCTACTTGTAGAGTATAGCCGCGTGACTATACTTTTGACATGGTATAGTTTATAAAAAAATATATATATAAACTTAGTATCTTTAGGTCAATAATTTTTTTTTAAAAATTTTATTTTTCGTAATTAATTAATATCGTATCATTTTATAGTTACTTATATTTGTAATTATGTTTTAATTAGTATTTCTTTAGTGAATAATTAGTATTAAATATTTTAATTAACTTCATAAATTATATTACTTAATAAATAGTAATTAATTTTCTACTTGTAGAGTAATTAAGTAATATCTTATCATTTTTTAGTTACTTTCATTTGTAATTAAGTTTTAATTATGATTTCTTTAGTGAATTATTAGTATTAAATGTTTAAATGAACTTCATAAATTATATTTCTTAATAAATAGTAATTAATTTTTTTCTTTAATAAATTTTTTAAATAAATAACGTAATTAAAAGAGAAATCCATATTATGCTATTTAAAGGTCTAGCCGACCGGCTATACCTTTGAAACTCTTTTTAGCCCGTCGGCTATAGTAATGAAACTTTCTATCTTATAGTATAGCCGCGCGGCTAAACGTTTGAAATTCTCCTCTTAAAGAGTATAGCCACGCGGCTATACGTTTGAAATATTCTACATAGTTACTTTCATTTGTAATTATGTTTTAATAATTACTTTTTTAGTGAATAATTAGTATTAAATATTTTAATTCACTCCTAAAATTATATTACTTAATAAATAGTAATAAATTTTTTTGGTTTAATAAAATATTTAAATACTAATTATTCACTAACTAAATATTAATTAAAACAAAACTACAAATTAAAGTAATTGAAAAAAGATATGGTATAGCCGCACGGCTATACGTTTGAAACTTGCTATTTAAAGCATATAGCTGGTCGGCTATACTAATGAAACTTTCTATTCTTACAATAGAATTCAAAAAGAAGAAAAACTTACATGTACTAATAAATGAAAGATAATCATGCAGTGGATATATGGTATATGGCTCCTGAGTATGTAAATCATGGTCGCTTTAACAGGGGTGTTAGTTCTTGAAATTGTTAGTGGTAGAAAGATTGGTAGATTCCTATATGGCGAAAATGAAGAGGACCTGTTAACTTATGTGAGTATAATTACATTAAATAGTGTATTTTCCCTCTTTTACCTTGGTGAAATTTCTTTCTACTATATTGATAGGCCTGGAGAAATTGGAGGGAGAGGATAGAGTTCAAAACATCATAGATCCTGTGTTGACGAGAAGTTCACAATCCAAAACGATGAGATGCATCCACATAGGTTTATTATGTGTGCAAGAAAATGTGGTGGACAGACCAACCACGGCTTCAGTTGTATCCATGCTTAACAGCCAGTCTTCCACTAAGGTAAACCATGTCTTCGTCTTCGTCTTCCACTAAGGTAAACCATGTTCTACTTTGGCAGCGATGAATATCTAGACTAGCATCAACTTTCGTCTTCCACTAAGATAATTTATGTCCTTTTTATAAAGTTTTATCAACATCCCTTTACAAATATTCCAACAAGGACGAGATCTTTTCTGAAATTGCATACAAATATATCAACATCAGAAGAGTGGGAATATTTGTAAAGTAATAGAGGGAATGCTTCTAGTTAAACCAAACCTTATCCGATTTCATTGTTCTACAGGCTTCTAATAAGCGCTTTTAGCAAGCATTGATCTGTTTAACAAACATGCAATATTAATTGGAAGCATCGATTTAACTTGGTGGTGTGTGCACCAGCACCACTCAGAGGTCAGAGCTCTACTTTCTGAGAATAAAAAGCTCTAGCCGAAGCTTTTATATATTCTTATTTCTTATTTGAGAAGCACCAGCACCACTCAGAACAAACACATCAATTGACATCCTTAACCTTATCATATATACCTCTGCAGGTTTCACCTTGTACATTGAGCCAAAAGAAGATGTCTCAACTTCTATATTCATTTTCAAGATTAATGAAAATTAGAAAGAAAGAACCCTAATTGCCAATTGGACATGGTGTGTTCAACTGGGCAGGCAAGGAACCCTAATCGCCGAGCCGACCAGTAAAAATTGACCACTCAGTCTCCGCGTGCACGATGACATACACATATTTTACTGTAGGGGTGCTCAGATTTGATCCATTTTTAAATATGGACCGGTGATACAAAGCATTAATTCAAGATCAGAATGATGGATTTTCTTGCTAATTTTTTTTTTCTTTCTGCTTTTCAAGACAAACACACGAGGCACAATATTACTACAGGATGGCCACCGATCCACAGTATCAACATGAGCATGACATAAAGAATTAATATTGTATCAACTTAATCCATCTGGATCTTCCACTTTTTGCCGATCCAACACTGCCACAATTAATTCTTATTATTATCCTGGATTTGAGAAAAACATCTACATGGAAAGCAACTTAAACAAAAATCACTGCCTAACACACTCAAACAATAATAAGCTATCAACTTACTTAAAGACACAAAGCTTCACCAGAAAGAAAAAAAAACACTTGGACCAACCAATATCAACATGCACTGTGCATAGTACTGGGAGTGAGTGTAATGACCGTTTTGGAAAAGGCCAGGCCAAGCCAGGTGCAGGTCCTTTCTAACAAAATTGGCCTGTTGACTTGAGAGAGAGTATATAACTTATAAGAAGCGTCAATCAAGCTAGAGATGCAAACTTTTTAAGCGTGGAATAAAGTATCGTGGATGACGTTAAGTTACCTTCAGATAATCAAAGTCTCCTAAAAAATCAAACCAGCTAGCAGTCCCTTCTTTATCAGCATCTTAGTTTCAACAGTGTTCGAAACTTAACCAAATCCAAGAATGGTTTACCTTAACTTGTAGAGCTCGTTCCTACGATCCTAGTAGCGAAAACAGCGCAAGAATTGGAATTGTAGAATGAAAGTTATGGTAGAAAGAAGTTTGAAGGAGGAAGAAGGCTGGGCTCTCTCTCTCGCGCTTGTCCAGCTAAAAGAAAACCATCCTTTCCTCCTTTTTCTTCTCTTTGGAAACACCAACCCACACATGGGGAAACAAGAGACCAACACGTGTCCTTTCAATCCTATTCCAGCGACACGTATGCTAAGCTGGCAGAAGTGGTCAACACTCAGCATGACACGTGTCCCTTACCTGGCCCAAGGATAGTCGCAGGATCAGATTACCAGTCAAGGATCTGACGCCCAAAATTTAGCCACATCATTTCTTGAATTCCAATATTCCTAGATCTCCAAAAATTCACCCAACTTTTAAAAATACTACGAACTCATAAACACATGTACTTTTCTTTAATCACATCCAAATAACCATTTGATCTCAAGAAAAGAAAAAAAAAATCGTGTACACTTCTAACAAACCCGAAACAATTCTCCAAAATTTTATAAATAGTTTTTAAGCACCATAAAATTTCTAGAGTGTCACACGTACACATACTATAACATATTTAGGTTATAGATTTTGTTTATTTATTTCGCACATGGTATCTTCTTACTTCAAATTCAAATGACTGCTATATCCATCCACAAACAAGAGCAATATCAAAGTTGTCAAGCAACCATCTAGACCGGAGCCACAAGTAGAGTCAAGGTCTTCTCTTAATGTCCTATCCTATACGTCTAATTTGGTAGTGAGTCCGCCTCTAAAATTCTAAGTCTCCTTCCTATATCTATCAGTGGCGGATCCAGGATTCAAAAGTCAAGTAGGCAAAATTTACCTTAAAAACTCAACGATACAAGTGAATTTTATTCATAAAAATAAAAAGATACACTTAGTCATGGGGATGTAATGAGCCTTACTCTCAAAAATGCATATCTATACATAAATAAAAGCTTAACAAAAAGATCAAGAATAAATGCAATGCAACACAAGACTAAACTATTTTAATCTAAAACTTTACCCTACAAGGCTTAGAAATCTTAAATTCCTCAATTATCTCTTCATTATCGATATTATTAGCAATAGGGTTTGCTATGCTCCCCAATTTGTTCAAAGGGAGAAGAGGTGGGAACCGTCACTTGATAGGACCGCCCCTTTTTGCTATAAAAGCCGAAGTTATTTTCATGCAGAGGAACAAACAGAGAAATGGGTTCCTCAAGATTGCTAGTTTTCATCATTCTTCCTATACTCTTGGTCTTGGCCCCTCTTGCTCCTACCATAGTGGGCGACCAAACCACCAGCGGTGTTTGCACGATGAGAGCAGAATACTGCTGGAGCTGCTTCAATACTAAAAACACCAACAATGGCAGCATCTACAATCAAAACCTCAATACCCTCCTCTCCTCTTTCACTTCCAACCCCAAAATCAATCCCAGATTTTACAGTTCTTCTCGGGGACAAGCCCCCAACAAAGTGAACGCAATTGCCGTATGCAGAGGGGACGTTGCATCCGAAGATTGCCGCACCTGTTTCAAGGACTCTGTTTCCATTCTCCTGCAGAACTGTACTAATCAGAAGGAAGCAATCATATGGGCAGAGCACTGTACGGTTCGATACTCGAACATCTCGATTTTCGGTGTGCTTAAATATGAGCCTCTTAAGTTTGTGCCAAGCCCAAATAAGATATCAAACGCTGAACGGTTCAAGCAGGTGCGCGACCCCTTATTTGGAAATTTACGTGAGAAAGCTGCAGCAGGGAACTCTATTTTAAAATTTGCAGCAGGGAATGCGTCGGTGCCTTGTACAAATCAAACTGTATATGCAAATGTCCAGTGCAGCCCTGATTTGGACAAACAAAAGTGCAGCGATTGCCTTAAAGAGTCCATCTCAAATATTACAGAGTGTTGTGGTGGTGTGGGTGGAGGAAGAGTTCTTAGACCCAGCTGTTATTTGAGGTTTGAGTCAAATCCGATACCCTAATAAACCTTCCGGGCGAACAAGGTATAATAATTTACTTTTGTTTGTTGCTTAATTTCTTGTTTGAGCCCCAATTAGTTAACACCACGTTGCTAACAAACAGAGCCTTGTGATTTTTGCAGGAAATAATACGAGTGGAAATAATACGAATAACATTACAATAAAAGTGTCGCCACCGTCGTTCTGACGATTGGTATTGTCATTATGCTTATTAATATTATCAGCATTTGCATTCTTGTGAGAGTCTGGAAGCGAAGGGCACTCTTCGTTTGTAAGTGCTTGAATTTGTCAAGGCCCATGTAATAGGGATTACTCCCTTTTTTCAAAAAATAATAAAAATAAGGATTATTCTATGGTTTTTTTTTATTTTTAATTTAATACAATACGATATTCTAAACTATTTTATGCTTGCTTAACTGCTTTTTGTATTTATGCTTGCTTAAAATTGAAAAACCATGTCATTGTCTTAGGCTTGCAACTTGCAAGCAATTACGGACTGAACCAATCAACACCATTCTATATGCAATACGCATGGAGATGGCCGACAACAACCACCCATCGAAACCCACAACCAACCCCTCTCCATCCCTCTTGCTGCACCTTTCTGCTTCTTAGTCTGAAAGTGTAGACTTTAATGGACCACTTGTGTTCTTCTCAAGGTACAGGGACTTAGGGTTTCTTTATGACAAGTTTAATGGACTTAGGTATCCTGAGCATGAGTATTATGTTTGCTTGAAATTGAAAACCATGTCATTGTCTTAGGCTTGCAAGCAATTACGGACTGAACCAATCAACACCATTCTATATGCAATACGCATGGAGATGGCCGACAACCACCCATCGAAACCCACAACAAACTCCTCTTCGTCCCTCTTGTGTGCTCCGTTTCGGCTATACGAATTATTCTACTTGTAGAGTAATTAAGTAATATCTTATCATTTTTTAGTTACTTTCATTTGTAATTATGCTTTAACTATTATTTCTTTAGTGAATAATTAGTATTAAATATTTTAATTAACTTCAAAAATTATTTTACTTAATAAATAGTAATTAAATTTTTTCTTTAATAAAATATTTAAATACTACTGATTCACTAACTAAATAATAATTAAAACATAACTACTAAATAAAGTAGTTAAAAAAGAGAAATCCATATTATGATATTTACCGGTATAGCCGCGCGGCTATACTTTTGAAACTTTCTATTCAACGAATATAGCCGCTCGGCTCTACGCCTATTTTTTGGGTGACTTTTAAAAGCATTAGTCACCTTTTTCGGTGACTAAAGGCTTTAGTCACCATGCAGTTACAAATTTCGAGAGTGTGAGATTTGTGGCCGTTACTATTGGTCTTTTGTCACCAATAATAAAGAAAGTGGCAAACAATATGTTGACTTTTCAGCTACCTTTACACTTATATTTTATTATTATTTTCATCTTTAATTAGTTTAATAATTTCCTGAATTATATATGTTTTAAATAAGTACAATTTCCTTTTGATATACTTTAATGGCATAATAACAGTAATTCCTTTATTTTCTGATAAGATAATAATAATAATTCCTTGGTAATGCACTTCATGTGTAAAAAGAGCCTCTAATATTATTATTTAATTATTCATAAATATTTAATTGATACATGATGGTAATTAAGTAGTACAATATTTTCCTAATGAATAAATAAAATTTATTATCCTCTACAAACAATAATATATACACGCCTAAGAAGGCCTATAGCTAGTACTTTCTAATCCAAGCACTCCTCTGATCTGAACATACAAACGAATGATGCAACTGAAGTGTCCTCCATCCCTGCAATTGAAGTGTCCACCATCCCTGTAAGTAAATCGAAAATAATTAGGAGGGAAATAAACAAAAAAAAAGTTTGCTCTCCAGTTAAAGACCATCACTGACATTAAAAAAAACTGAATTCAAACACACAAGGACCCGTGGGATAAAACAAATACACAGAGGTATAAGCAGCCAAACTCAGTAAATCAGCAAAGAGATTATGGGATATCTACTCTTGGAGCCCAGCACAAGTTCTTAAGACAGAAAAGAAAAAAAAAAGAAAAAAAGAAAGATGCAATCCTGCAAGACAAAATGGAAGAAAAGGCAATTCATCAAAGAAGTTCTACCTGCAATTTCGTGATGTCCCACCAAAAAAGTAATTCAAGCCTGTAATTGGAGATGTACAAAAACATTAAACAGAACTTCATTCAAGGCCATACAATGCGAAGGAACTTATTCGCGTTCATAAGATGGACATCCTGTTTATTTGTGAACCTCGTATTGGTGGGCCAAAGGCGCTGACTGTTGTGCAATCCTTAGGATTCAACTCTTATGAAATTGTGGATCCCATTGGTTTCTCGGGTGGCTTATGGTTATTGTGGAATTCGAATAAAGTCACGGTTGACATTATTGGTACCAATGATCAAGCCATTAATGCTTGCGTTTCATGGCCTGGTCAGTCCCCTTGGCTTCTAACTACAGTTTATGCTAAGCCTTGCAGTAAAAGAAGAGAGAAGCTTTGGGAGTATCTGAACTTTGTGGCTGGTTGCCACCAAATGCCTTGGTTGCTGGCTGGGGACTTCAATGATATGCTTTCAACTGATGATAAATTGGGGGGAGCCACTCTCAGAAGATTAAAAGGTTTCAAATGCTGGTTTGATGATAATGAAATGATTGATTTGGGTTTTGCTGGGCCGAAATTTACTTGGACTAATCAAAGGGTCTTCGAGAGGATTGACAGAGCCATTTGCGACTTGAGGTGGAGAAGTTCCTTTCCTGAGGCCCATGTCAGACACCTTCCGAGGACTAAATCTGACCATTGTCCCATTAAAATTAGCTTGAATTCCCAGTTCACTTTATCTCCCAACAACAGACCGTTTAGGTTTGAGGCTATGTGGATGAAACATG